AGTAAAAATAAGAATAAATAGAAAGATGTTTTTTAATTATACTTATTTAACCATAAATACTGTCTAGATTTTTAATGAAAATTATAAATGTTTCTTGAATGAATTTTGCTACAGTTCTAAACTTATTGCATACATATGCATTAGTATATTCACAATTTCACTCCAAACTTATTATTTCAAAAATTAAATATTCATTTCTGTTATTAAAACAACTTTATAAAAGTATGGACCAGGAATTCATGTGCACTAAAAATCAATGTTTAAACTATATTTCAAGTATTAAAGCTTGTTTAAAAAACATAGCTGCTTTAATAACATAAAACGATCACATAGTTCAGTAGAAAAAATAAGAGTCTGAGAAATTCTTGTCTTGCTACAAACACTTTCATATATTTCATCACCTTTCATTAACAAGAGTTATATAAAAATAATATCTATGCTAATTTCCTCTCATAAAACTTGCTCCTTTTTAATATGGACGGAATTTAAATGCCAGATATGACATACTGGATATACATATGATGTAAATGGAATGTAAATGTTTAACATGAAATTTATACATGAAGAATGAGAGTACAAGTACTTAAGGTCAAGTACTGAAGACAGATGTGTACTCCAGCTTTCAAATAATTTGTTTCTCTAATGCACATATATATTTAAAGTACGCTTTTACAAATAAAATAAACTTTTTAAACATGCATAAAAAATCTTTGCATAACAAGAGAATTTTGATTGCATATCTGAATTCAGCAACATAAATATTGTTAGATTCCTACACTTTTATTTGCATGATAAAAAAAAAAAAAAGCTGTCTGATTCAGTATAAATTAATTTTTTTTAAATGAATAAATTTAATTACCAATAATCTTTCAAAATATACTTGAAAATAATTGAAAAGAGACTCGTACTTGAAAAGAACATGAGATTCATAAATAAAAAAGAAATGGGAAAAAGAAATTGGCAATATTAAATTAGTTAAATTTTCCTCCCACAAATTAAGAATATAAACATAATATGCTGAAATTTGGTCTAAAGTAAGCTGTAATATTTGAGCTTTTATTAATAACAACAGGATTCAATGGAATATGAATCTATTATTCTATTACACATCTGCCTCAAACAAAAATGCAATAAATGACTATAAGATTTAAGCTTTCATTAGTAATTAAATTTTCTAAATAAATTAAGTGCTTTGGGCCTTACAGGTGTTTTGAAATGCTTTTACACCTTATTGCAGTTTTAGTTGAGATGTGGAACATGCTTGGACAGAATATGATATTTAATAAATACAAGTTGTAACATCACATTGTAAATATCACAAAGAATTTTCAGATCTTCTGCAAAAATGTTTCAAGAACTTGATTAAAAATATAAAAGGAGTTAAAAGTAAATAAATATCTCAGAAAATGCTTTTTTTGGGGAAAATATTTATAAACAAATGATTACTATACTCCCAAAACATTTAACATATAGAGTTGGAAACATCTATTAATTATAATAACACTGTAAAGTTTAAAAAAATTACATAGAACATAACACTAAAAACAATACATATATTATCACTCATGTTTAAATAAATTCGTTATCAACATATTGCAGAGATATATAATGTGCTGCTATATGTCAACATATGATTATCTATTAATTAAACACAACTATGCATAAATAACTGCAAAACACAAATAAGGTACAAAGTCTTTAATTCAGACGTCCATAATCTGGAATGATCTATAATCTGGACCTCAAAGCTACAAACTTTCTGCGCATGCATAGCATTTACCCATGCGCATAACACATTTACGCATGCACATATGTGTTTACGCATGCGCGTTTAATGTATAATGGATGGTATAAGCTAGGCTAAAATGATCTAACTATCTATTTCAGTTAATGTTGCAGATTGCGCTGTTCCTTAATCTTCTAATTGGATCCGGCTTATTTTTTACAGACTGTTAGAGCAATTTTATAAAAAGTAAGCTTGAACTTTCGATTATGTCAAGTTTCCGATTCTGGAGCTGCCAAAGGATCTAGAAAGCGAAAGCATGCTTCGATGCCCATCACACAAAAAGTGGAATTGCTGCAAAAAAATGGATAAAGGCATGAAGAAAGTGACAGAGAGGTTAGTGAAAACAAAAAAATTTCGATTGACAAATTAGTCGGTATTCTCGGCACAGCAATTAAAGGACTTGAACTAGGGTATCAGTAGCCAATCAATAATGCCTGGGCCACTGAACATCCAGTCTCCGCTGTCCTCGGTATTCTGTGTAAAGCCTGAAAGGAGGGGCAGCCCGCATAGAGCTGGTAGGTAGCCAACAGCCAGTCTCGCTCCAAGTTCTCAAAACACATTTCATTGCTGTCTGTGTCCACTGGGACGGTGGTCTTGGCTGGTCAGTTTGACGGTGGGTCATAAGAGGGAGGCCTAGTTAAATTTGTTGATGTCTCCGGGGATATGGGACTCTGGGCTCAACAAAAGAGAGTATGACCATCTTCGTGTGGCTTTGACTGGCGCTTTTGCCAGTCCCTGTATTGCCATTAAGTTGGTGAGGCTGATATAAAAACCAGTTTATTCAGTCATGAAACTTTTTTGCCACTTTGTATATATTAACTAGCCATTTAAATTTTTTTTTTTTTTTTTTTTTCCTTCTAGAGTACAAAGTCCAGAATTTGAACATCCATTAACATAAATGATTATTAAGATCCCCCATAAAACCTGTTTTTTTCAGGAGTTTTTTTTCCTCCCACATTGTAGGAATGGAGAATATGACACTCAAATGCAAGTCCATTTTTGTCACAGTTATGTGAGATATTTTTTTTGCCAAAAAGTATCTTTATCCACAACAGTACTCAAAGTTGCTTTCCCACATGTCTAGAAAGGGTTCAGCATTTTCAGCATTTCTGTTCAGAATTCTTATTAGTCCTATAACAGAGTAACAGAAATCCAAAGAATGATGTTTATCTGGGCTGGTATGATATGCATACACTCTTTCATTTGTTGGCAGGACAGAGAAGGGAAAAAGAATTCAATCTTAATTAACCTCTGCACTTTTTTTAACTATTTGATTCTATGTAGCTTATTATTTTGCTCAGTATATTATTATTGCTGTTATCTTACCAGTACTTTAGTAAAAGTTAACATCACAATTTTACTCATTGCTCAAAAACTATACACCTGCCAATGGGCCAAACGATTATCGGCAGAAAATATAGCCATTCCGAGTTCCAGTCACATTTTTATTTCATGCGGTTGTTATTCAAACAGTATTCTTTGTGCAGCATAACTCTTTCTCAAATAGAATAACCACTTGTTTATCTCTCCGCAAATGTCAAATTACAAAAATCCATTTTAATTTTTAAAAAAAGAATAATGAAAATCATGGTTGCTTCAAAAAAGAAGTGAAACCATGCTAGTGACACCTAGTGCCGAGGAAATACCATTAAAAAAAAAGGTGCCAAGCAGTTCTGACAGAAAAGAGTGAATTACTCTTGAATTATCTACATGGCAAAGAATTAAACTTTGTGGCTCAACAAGAAATTAAGTATTAATTTAGTCAAACAACAAAAATCAGCATTATATTTGCAATTATATTTGCTATTTACAAATTTTCACAGGACTAGTTTTGATGGTTTTCACCGAACCATCACCCTCAGCATCAAGAAATTATGTCTCTCCATAAAATTAAAGAGAAAGTGTTAACACATAAAAAGAATTTATTTAAACTGCTTATGTTAAAAAAAATCCTTAATGAAACAAAATAAATATTAACACAAAGCTTTTTCTTTGTTTTGTTTTTTGTAAAATTTATTCCCTTAAGACAAAAAATTAATCATTATTTCAAACAACCTTTCAAATTTTTATTATTTTCATAATTTCTATTTGTAATCTTGCACTAAATTTAAATCGGTAAATTAAATGCAGTCTTACACTAATTTAAATTGGTAAAGCCCAGAAATTTTTGGAATCCAGATTTGCTAAATTCTTATGGTTCTGGATCTCAGACTTTGTACTGTACTGTTTAATGACCTTAACACAAACACATTCATCACGGCAATGGTGCACCTTTGTCCAACTCTTCAAAAATTTTGTGATAACAAAATAGTATGGAGCGGTAATACATCAAAAAGTTGATAAATAAGTTGCTAGACATGCTGCACTAAAATTTAAAAAAAAAAAAGAAAAAAAAAAGAAAAAAAAATTAAATTAAAAAACCTTGTACAAAGAATGAGTTAACTCATTGCTAATGCTCGGTGAATATTTGTGGAAGATGATATACCACAGTAATGAAAGTGTATCATTTGACTGTACGGAAGATTACGAAATCTAAAAGGAAAACAAGTAATCATACAAATCTACCTAATAAATGCTGTTTAAATACAACTCTTCATCAACAGATCTGAAAACTCATTTCACTCCAAGGGTTAAGCAGACATGATTAAGCATTAGTTTTCAAATTTTAATCCAAGCATTAACAAAGCAATCAACTGCTTTTAAACATATTGAATTTATTTCAAGAAGTTTTAAGTTTTTCAAGCACCGTTTCAAAAATTGGGGAAAGGAGATTCATAAATAATCCACATCAGGTAAAAAATGAATTTAATTTAATTTCAAAGCCTACACTATAACTGATATTAAACAAGATCTAAACGGTTAATGCTGTAGTAGCATTATGTATTGCAATACAACATAAAAAGTGAAAAGATTATAGATGTTTCTAACATCAAAATTATCAACACTTTCTTAATAATGTACAACAGATTAAAATATTCCGACTTTTAAAAATATATAATCAAATATCTATGTTTATATGTTAAGTATTTAAGAATCTGATTTTAAAATAAGAAGTTAAAGAACAACTACAAATAAAATACATTTTACTTCAGGTAATTCAAATAAAATAACACACCAAACAAGTATAAATTTAGAAGTCAAACAAACCTGTGAAAATTTACAAATATAATGTTGATTTCTGCTGTTTGACTTTTAAATTAATACATTTTAATTGTTTCCATTTTTTGCATGGAATACACGATTATTAAATAAAATTTGTAATTTTTAGACAGATTACAACTAGCTATGCATACATGTAATTATAGAAATATTATAGAAATAAATTTAGCATTAGAAATAAATTTTGTTTCAAAACACAATTCATCATGTTTCCAAAATTTAAATGAAATTAAAAATGCTTTTAAAAGATTACATAATTCAACTGCACATTAACTTTACAATTATGACAATATTTCATAAAAGTTTACTAAAACTTTCTATATATCTAAAATAATCACTCTTCTAGAGCACTGAAAAATGAGTTAAAACCAATTAACATAAAAAATTATGAATGCTTTAGAAAACATTAATAATAATGCCTCTGTGCAAAATATACTGTCATGGAGAGTCATAATTATTCGTCAAAAACATTTCATTTAAAATATACCAGTCATAACAACTAGAGGTGATGTATCAATGCATAAATATATCATTCTGAATTTGATTAAAATCAGTTCATGTTTAAATGATGTACAAAATTCATCGACTGTATAGTCAAACTGTACATGGTAATAACAAAGTCCATGGATTATTTTAAAAGATACAAAATAAATGACATGAAGCAAGATATGAAAATCAATACTACCGATTTTGAAACAATAGTTCCACCATTACAACCATCACTGTAACAAGTGTAAACACATGATCTATATTCTCGTTCATCACCAGGACGTCTCACATATTCACAATAATTGCCGTGATGCCTCGAAGAACAAAATCGACGAGTACCAATAGTGCCTGGAACAAATGTAATAACATTTAAGAGTAAGGAATAAAAAGCCATTTATTGCAGTACATATTTACTACCTCTCACAGACTACATATAATACAATAGAACCTCTAACTGACAAGTAAACCTTATCTCCTTTGATACCGCTTTTCCGGAAACCCATGTATTTTCTGAAAGCTTCTGAAGTACTTGATGGTAAAATCCTACAAAAAGAGCTGGTACCTGAAGGATGTATGGGAAAGATCCAGCCTCTGGATGTTCATTTTTCAGACACTATAAATCTTTTCTCGTTACTTAACAGACACAATCATTATCAAGACACAGGAGCACATTTGGCATCACAATAGTTTTCTGGCTCTGTAGTCCTTTTCACTGTATCGATTCAGCACTCCTTGGTTTCCTGTATTAGATTCTGTTTGAAGTCAACAACCACTTTTTAAACATCCCAACGTATAATGTTTCTCTTCAACGAGTTGTTTCTTCCTTTATATTGAGATCCACACCTTCTTACTGTATTATTAGTTCATATAAACACATGAAACGAGCATTTTAGCGACTTTTGGTGTCATGTTTCCAACACTTTTCTGATACTTTGTGGGCCCTATAGCTCCTAAACACTTGTCCCTCTGCCCCCTAAGATTTCAGTTTTTCTACTTGTGACAAAAGCTTTCAGAAAATATGGTTTTCAGAAAGCCAGTATAAAAGGAGAGAAGGTTTACTTTTGAGATGTCTATTAACCAAGTTGGCAATTGGTTTAGAAAAATATTCGGAAAATATAGAACTATTTAGAAAACTATATTAACAAAAATAAGTAAAATTCATGAGTTCCCTTATCAGTGGTTCATTTTTTTTTTTGGCCTCTATTATCAGTAACGAGTCATTTAACAGAATTTCTGTTGGGCATTAAACATGATAAAAAACATGATTTATGCATATTGCAAATGAATTCAGTATTAACTTATAATGAATTTGTAGAGGTGTTTCAAAGGACAGAAGGATGATGTTTTGGTATAATTAAATGTAGAAAACAGGAACGAAACTTTCAGGTTTGGGGTGACAAAAAAACATTTGCAGGATAGATCCAAAGAGCAATAAAAATTGCAATTCTGCTGAGAATGACAATGGAGCAGAAATACACAGAGTACATATTAACAATGCTGTACTCCTAGTTTTAAAGTATTTTGATTACGGAAAATCATAGGACTATCTGCCTAAACAGCAAGATTTCTTTGCGAAGAACTTTTTATAGAAAACTGGTTTCATATTTATTCTACATATGGGGAGGATACGAAAACTGCCATATACAGGGTTCGTACACATTTCTGCACACGGAAATTAAGGACTTTTAAGGACCAGTAATGAAAAAAATTAAGGACCTATGAGCAAATGGATACTGAGTAAATTTAATTAAAAATATTATATCTATGCCTGAATGTGAGTAGGATGCATTATTATTAAACATAACTTAATTAACATAATTATGAATAAGTTTGAGAATAAAATTAATTTTATGAAATTTATCAAGTAGCATTAAATATTTTACACTTATGATAACTGGACATATTTGAAAGAACATAAGTGAGAACATAAGTTATTTTTAGTTACGTTTTAGTTACGTTTTACTAACAGTTAGCTTATTTTTTTAATGTCTCATTTTGTCACATACTTGCTCAGTCTAGAGGTTTAGTAAATAACAAGTAGATTTTATGTGAAGCAGCATAGGTTAAAATGAGCATTAAAATCATAATCAGCATGATTCATAACAAAAGACTGGCTGTTGTCATCGCTCCTGCTTGCCTATAGAAAAACCTGCTGATCAGAACAAACCTGAAAGGCCTGATGTAGGCACAGTTAAGCAAGTTTTGAAAGTTAGCTGACCTCTGTCTGATGCTGTTAATGTCGTAGCATCGTGTAGAGTTCCACGAAGCTACGACACTTACAGTGTCAGACAGTGTAGGGGTTGTAACTCAGTTAATATACTTTAAGGTTAAGCCACTAAAGCATTAGCGGTGATAAGTTGTTTTGCATTAAGTCTCACTAGATGCAAAGAATAAGTTTCATATGAATTTTTATATTTTTGTGTTTTACCTTGTGACCACGGAAAAGGTTAACACGTTGAGTCTGGCGCCAAATTTGCTGTCCTTTCCATTCAGCCGGCAGCAAGCGATCAAGCAGTGCAATATTGACGACTTAAATTATTCATAAATTATACAAAAAGGAAGGAGATGCACAAAAAGTCTGAAAGTATTGTTTTAAATGTTATGATGACAATTCAAAACTATTTGGATGCAAGATAGCCAAAAATGTTATCAAAATAGTTGTTTTGTATTGTAATATGTGTCAAGCTAAGCCGTATTTTTGTTTAGAATGTTTCAATAAATTTCATTAAAACTACATTTGATCACATTTCATTGAGACTATACTTATTTTTTAACTTTAATACTGTCGTCCTGCGGACCGATGCCAGACAAATGAAAATTCCAGTGCCGAGCCCCAGGGACCAACGCCGGGCTCAGCGTGTTAACGAAAAGCAATATAGAGAGAGAATTTTTAAGGGAATGCATTTAGTTATACTTAAATTAGGTCTTAAATAACCTTAGTCATTATGGATTTACATGACCACTATTAAATTAAATTAAAGTTTTAATAATATTTGTTAAAAAAATCCTATTAATATCACAATCTCATAAAATTTCACAGTTTAAAATACATGCAATTTATGACATTGATTTTAAACAATATTAGGATAATTACACAAACTCAACAAAATAATTATGCGTCTTTTTAATTTGAAGGCCTGCCCAGATATTTTGGCTAATTTATATCAATTTCCTTCTCCTTAAGCATGTTTTCTAATAATTAGAAATTTGTCTCAATACGTTCTCTTTAAAGAACACATGCGTGGTAGTTCCTCCCTAATTTCAAAGTTCTCATCAACACCTCTTATAAATAATACTAATTGAGCAGTATCATTTATATCACTGCTTTCATCCATAGCTATGGAGCAAAATTTAAATTGACCAATCTTTGACTCTAATTGTGATGTGAAATTTTTATCAATGTCTTCGATTCTAGAAGCCACCGTTTTTTGAGATAAGTTTACAGTCTCAAAATTATTTTTCTTGTATGGACATAAAACATCACAAACTTTTAACATGCATTGTTTAATGAACTCTAAATCACTGAGAGCTTATTATTTTTAGCAATATTGTTATGCTGCAATGTAACTTGCATATGTAGCTGCTTCTTGGATACTGTTTAACTTCTTGAAAAAAATTTGTCGCCCTGATAATTTTTACTTCCTTGTACGAAGTAAAAAGGAAGTATTGTAATCGCGAAAAGTTTCAGGCAGCATATTTCAACCAAAATATCCCATTTTGACCTCTTTCAAATGCAATTTAACGATGTATTTCCGTGATATCTGTATGTAAGGACAGAATAAAACACTTTTTTCCCCCAAAAAAATTATAAAACTGCTTTAAAATGAATTCTGAAGAGAATTTTTCGTGGCATCTGTACGAACGTATGTACATACGCATCTCACATAACTCAAAAACGAGTAGCCTCAGAATGTTGAAATTTTGTATATAGGACTGCTATAACATGTAGATGTGCACCTCGTGTTTTGATTGCAATCGGCACAACCAAACGTAAATAAATATATTTATATATATCTATCCACTCTGTTACCCGGCTCAGTGATCTTAGTTTCTTTACTCTTATATGTTTGTAAATTGTACATTTTTTGCTTTAAAAATTATTGAATTATGTTGTTCTTATCTTCCAGTTAAGGTTTTTATGCCTTTAGTAAATCTGTATGCAATATTTTTAGAATTATCAACAATTTTAAAATTGTTTAAGTGCCGCTAAGCCTAATAATGTTTTTGATGGCGGCCATTGCTCTTGTTTACATTTGAAACAGCAGGATAGCGGATTTGTTGCCAATCTAGAGAAACTTAGCTTCGCAACAACAAAGATAACGCCTTCATTTATTATTTAAATCATGCTTAATCCTTTCTGGAATTTTTTCAAGAAAATAAGCATTTAAGATTTACTTTGTAATTTTTAATACAGATATTTTGAGTTTTTATATATTTTTGCCTTGTCGCGAAGTGAAATCTGAATTAATTGAATGAGAAATACTCAATAGTCTGTGAAAAACTGTTTCATTTTTGTTTTGTTTTCTTAATTTCCTTTATACATAGTTCTAGTTTTACTATAGTATTTGAATAGAACATGTGGCAATGATTAGATAATTCTTTAAATGATATAAATTTTGTGCATTCTGAGTTATAATATGAACGAAATATAATACTGTTAAGTAAACCTAGCCTATGGTAAACAAAGTGAATTTTAAAGAATGCATTTATTCTATTGTGGTTTATGCGCTGTCAGCGAAGTAGGTTTAATTCAATTTAATAAGTTTAAATGAAATGCAAGAAAAAATGCCTATAATTTAATATTCTGTACAAGGAAGTCATGTGGTGTACACATCAGATTTTTTACAAACACTTTCTGCATTTTGTTTTCTTTCATATTCAGACATGTAGCTGCTTCTTGGATACTGTTTAACTTCTAGAAAAAATTTGTCGCCCTGATAATTTTTTACAAAGACTTTCTGCATTTTGTTTTCTTTCATATTCGGACATTGCTTCGTAATTGGAATTTTTATGATTAGATATGAAATGACGGAAAATGTTATATTCTTTGAAGACTGCTACAGCTTCATTGTAGATGAGGCACACCAGTTTATCTTTTATAACTATAAAAAAATATTTCCAGGTCCATTCATCATTAAAAGCACTAAATCAACCTCACACCATAAGAAAAAGCCGCTGCCTGAAGCTTTAAATGCACAGTCTGCCACATGTGAGATCCAATTCGCCAATATTAGATCCCTATATATCTATATATCTGCTCCCCGAGAAAGAGATAACGTTTGTTGGCATCAATTTACAGCTGTAACTGACAGAGAAGTTCCGCTTTTAATACTTTACTAACTGAAAGCTCTCTGTGCTTGCTATTTCCGTTGATTTATGTTTTGTAGAACAAAAATAGAGAAAGTAAAAAGAACATCAGTCCTTTGAAAAAAGGGATGAAAAATAATATTTAAACAAAGTAAAAAAGGAGGCGGATACACATATATATATTTCTTTTAATTTGCCTTGGATCTGCGGGCCGGATAGAACCTTCTGGCGGGCCGTAGTTTGCCCATTCCTGGTCTAAGTGGTAGTCTATACATTTTGTCTTTCACTTGTTAAATCTGTTTATTGAGGTTTCTATTATCTGTTATTCTTCTCCATTTCCAAGGATTATAATCATATATTTATTTCATTTTGCAGTATGTGATGTAATGTGAATATTTCTGTGTGAAATGTGTATATAGTTATATTATATTGCAATACCTCATATGTTTTTAGTATACTTCATATTTGGTATTATAATTTCATTTTTGCACTAAAACATATATAACTGCACATAAATTAGTGTTCCAATGTTTAATTATCCATATTATAATCAAACTGTATCAAAATCCTCAAGTTAATCAGAATTTTGTATTTGGTTATTGAAATTTGGTTCTCTTCACAACCATACTACTTGGCACTTTTTTGCTCTGACACATTTCCTTTTCATAAGTTTGGTTTGGCTTACGTCCTGGTGATAACTATATTTATAAAATCCCTTGTGCAATTACGTTTTCATCTATTCAGTTTTTTATTTTTATTTTTTATTTTTAACTGCAATAGATTTTACAAGTTGGGATAAATTACAGGAGATAAATATATAGCTATCCTGGGCTTTGGGTTTGGAATAGTTTCTTTTCACGTTTTTTATAAACAATTCGTGATATTTTTTGTTTAAACACAATTTTAAAATATAGGCATATGAAATTTGTTAGCAATGGATGAAACTGCAGAAAAATATCTGCAGAAATACAGCATTCTTCCGCAGTATCTCTAAAGGGAGGAGCTGTTTCGAATCTGTTGCTAAAGAGTTTGCCACCAAATTTCTATCAGAACGATAAAAAGTTTACTTATTCCTATTTGGGATAAATGTCTAATTAGAATATAAAATACATATGTATGCAATCAGTAACACTTACATATATAATAAGTAAATTTTTGCAACTTAACTGAATGATGATTTATGCTATCATTCTTTTCCATTTGTAAAAAATCTCCAAATTGTGCCACTGTGGTTGTGTGAATACATAACTACCAAAAATTTTGTTCAAATAGCTATAAAAAGAAGTTAAATTTTATTGTTATCACAGCACTAAAAATGGTTGTACAATTAATGATTCTCCCAAGAAAAAGAAGTCGGTTAAGATATATTTAAAGGTGCCCAACCCGAGTAGTTGAATGTTATGGAAATCCTATTATGGCGTGATTGTTTGCGTGACTGTGGTGAGTTTGACTTTTGTTGGATGTCAGTTAGGAAGTACGTTGTGTATTGTGTACTTGTGCGTAGTAAAATGGCTGCTGGTGGTAAAGCAGGTGTTTGGTGGTATAGAATCATCCCTGGTCTAAGAGAGTGGAAGTTTTTTTTTTTTATTATTATTTATTTATTTATTTTTTTAAGTGGTTGAGGACAGAAGAAATTGAACTTTGTAGGATGTAATTCAACGGAATTATAAGTGACCTGTTTGTATGAAGGAAATGCGTATGGTTGACGTAAAGATCATTCAGATGAGTTTTCTGTTTCAGTCGGAATCAGTTGGTCAGAAAGGTTCAAATGCTTACCATATTATATAAAGTGTTCCATTAGAAAGGGAACATGCTTTGAGGAAAGTTTCTGCATGCTGTTAAGGAATTTTGTGTGCCATGGACTGAACACATGGAAATTTCTAAATAAGGTAGGTGAGTATTTCCTTTGTGTAGTGCTTAGATGGTACAAAATGAATTTCCTTTTTTTATGTTAGTTCATTGTTTGATTTAAAATGCAGTTTATTGAGATTATACATTTTTTGTTTGGCTCTGGTGTAGAACTGGGTGCTACATTGACTTTTTAAGTGAAAATAGATTGATGTGTGCATTTACAAAGTCAAGGGAGTGTGCAATGAAAATATTGTGCAATTCTCTGACTTTTTTTAAGTGAAAATAGGTCGATGTGTACATGGGTACAGAGTCTGCTATTCTTTGACTTGTTATTTTGGCTTTGTGTAGCTGCGATTTTTTGTGGCAAAAATCGCTGGTACACAAAGCCAAAATAACAAGTCAAAGAATTGCACAAACTCGGTGTCCATGTACTGCCAAAAATCGCCAATTTTCGATAAGGGGCACTCGTAAATATATTTCTACCAAAAAGTCTTTTAATCCAAAATTAATTTAATGGAATTATTTCTTGCATGAATCTCTATTCTATATCTTTCTCTCAGGCGTTTGCATGCAAATGTAATTTCAAACAATGATGAGGCTTGGTGTGTCATTAGTATTGCCATTACCTTTTCAATCTACATTTTGTGCCAACATATATGTATCACAATGATTGCTGTCCCGCTAAATGAACAGTCATCTTGAATCATAAAGCATACTTCCCAACTTACAATTATTTCATGTAAATGCATTGAACTAAAATTTAATTTCTTCATATACCTTCATACATTCCAGTTGCTTTAATGCAATATTTTGCTTCATGAATTCCATCACACAAATTTGGCTCCAGAGCCAGTCGGTCTCGATTAAACACTTCGGCACAATACGTCTCTTCATTAGAATTACACTGATAGCAGTATATTGCTGATGCTAAAATAAAGATAAAATCAGAAATAATATTTTTGTTGATAATACATCAGAAAATTTTAAAGAAAGATAAAATATGTTAAAATAATACACAATAAATATAATCATTAAATGATACTTTATAGGAACTGTAAGAACAAAACACAAGAGCAAAATACATTATCCTTTATCTCACATAATTGCATTTTTGACAAAAATAAATAAATAAATAAAATAACATACTTAGATATTAGCCAATACATGTCAACAATCTTCTGCCACTATTTGGTGATGAAATACAGTGGATAAAAAAGGTATTGGCAAATGCCTATAATTGATCATTATAGCTAGCAAAGAAAATGCTTGACAATTTTAGCAGGACATAACAAACACAAGAGGTAATAAACACACAAATCTAATGAAACTTTCATTTTAACATAACTTTTACACAAAATATTCAACAAAAACGTAAATTTGCATGTCAAAAACGTATTGGCAAAGTTCTAACTACTATGCAAATTTTGTTGAGTTCACATGTTTAGACTGATAAGAAACCCTGTTATTATAAAGTCTGCAGTGCTACTTCGAAACTTTATTTTGCTAATACTGTGATAAAAGGGCTTTGAAGTTAAAGGAGTTGGATGTTAATGTTAAAAACACGATTATTCAGCTCAGAAATGAGGGTTTAACTTATCATGCTATAGGAATAGAACTGGGCATGAGTTGATTTACTATTAGAAATGTTGTAAAAATGTTTAATGAGACAGGATCGATGGAAAATAACATTATGAGTGGACAGCATTCAATATTTTCTGTTTTGTGTTCTATAAACTTCATGTAAAGATGAACTTAAGCATATACTCCTGCATTAATGACACAAAATTCTCAATAATACAACCAAGGCTTTGGTTTTCTCTATGTGAAATAAATTACAAGCTGTTATAAATAAAAAAGGTATGAATACAAAGTATTAATTTTGTTCCTACATTTTGCTGTATGATCTTGCCAATACTTTTTTTGACATGCAAATTTACGCTTTTGTTGTATATTTTGTGTAAAAGGCATATTAAAACGAAAATTTCATTAGATTTGTGTCTTTATTGCCTCCTATTGTTCATTATGCCCAGCTAAAATTGTGAAGCATTTTCTTTGTTAACTAGATCGATTAATTATAGGCAATTGTCAATACATTTTCGCCCACTGTATCTTATATTTAATCTTATCGTGAATTTTGCTGTTTTCGTCAGCTGACGCATGGCAGAAATCTTCAGAATCAGAGAGTTACAATTTCGATAGCATTCCTTTATCCTGTATGCTGCAGATCAAGGATCATATTATACAATCCCTATTTAATTAAAATTTGTATTTTAACCAGCGAAAGTGCACACTCTTTTGAGTTACAAGAGCGTGTGCCCTAGGTCCAAAAGACCTGGCTCGTATTTTTTGAAGAAAAAAATCTATTACTTTTCAGGTAAAATAGTTACACTTATGCCACAATTTTATGATCAACTTAGAGAGTATGCAAATTATAAAAGTTAAAATTTAAATTTTTATTTCCCTAATTTTTTTTAATTAATTTTTAAAAGGAATAGAAAAATGTATTACATTAACACAGAAAAAAAAAAAAAAAAAAAAAAAAACAGCATACCTTTAATCAATACTGAGTCTTTATTTTCTTTATTATTATCATAGACAGGGAGAAAAAATGAAACAAATGTTGTTAGCAGCTTGCTGAACAAAGTGTTGTCATGTGTTCCAGACACAAATATTTTTCACATTTTGGGCAGCCTATTTTGGTTTTTTTGTCCTTTTCATTTGGACAAATGCTGCATCTTTTTTTTTTTTTTTTTTTTTTTTTTTTGTTTCCGATTTTTTTCCTTTTATTGTGGCGGTTGTCCATCATCACTATTTCTGGAATAGGCATATAGTTTTGCTCAAAGTTCTTTTGGAAGAGATGGTACTGAAGCAAGAAATTTTGTTCGATCCTCGATCACGCTCAGTGTAAGATTTTGAAATATAAACACCGACTTTTATATGACTTTTGGATGACAAAATGAGTGTCCTTGCAGCAGTGTTTAAAAGAGAAAAAAACAATGCTATAGGCCACCTTTTAGATATTCTGGATGTAGAATACGAAGCTGAGATTTCATCAACTACGTCTACAGACCCTTTTGTAAGGTTATAAAATGTTAGAATTTCAGTCTTCTTACATTCGCCTGTTTCACCACCGACTGCATTGTCATGATACATTGTTGATAACAAATTGACACACTTATTTTTTTTTTTTTTTAGGAATATAAGAAACCAAAGTTGTATCTTTTTGGAAACTGACTTCTTGATTTTTACCGAAAACAAACTCCGTTGAAAATTCCCTTCTGTTCTTTAGAACTGTTCTGAGGATAGTTAGCTTTTTTTTTTTTTTTAGTAGTTCTCTTGCAAAATTGTAACTTGTGTACCAGTTATCTATAGTGATATGTTGACTCGATCCATAGAGTTTTGGGCACAGTCTTTTTACTATTTCATCGGGAGAGTTTTTCACACAATTCAGATCTTGTGGTTGCAGAACCTGGATAGATTTCTGAATTCGACGTACAAAACATTTTTGTATAAACTAACACAAACACTTTTATCCCATTATTTCGCAGGTTTATTAGGAATCTAATCCTTGAAATTTTTGTATCAACTAACACAAACACTTTTATCCCATTATTTCACAGGTTTATTAGGAATCTAATCCCTGAAAGCATTTGTAGGATATAGTTTTTTGGGAAATTTCTAAGTCAGTTCCACCTGTTGCCTACAGATCCTGCCCATTTACATGAGATGACTTATGAACAAAAAAAAAAAAAAAAAAATAAAAAGACTTATAAAACTGGAACTTATAAAACTGGGAGTTGTGTGACGAGCACCTCTCTCCCTTTGAATGTTGCCAGAAATAGATGCAATATAAATATTTGTATTACTGACGACATTCAGCAACATTTGTTCACTTAGTAAAAGTTCCCGTTATTCATTTGGAGTCTGCACATACTATGCCTTACCAATGTTTCCAGGCACTTTAGTAATGTTATGAGCAGGGGTTCTAACCAGGGCTATGGAGTCAGCAGGGAAAATGACCGACTCCAACTCTGATTCCGACTGGAATTTTAAAGACTCTGACTCTCTCATATATATATATGTGTAAACATATACAGCTTATTTTTTTAATATAAAAGAAGTACTAGATGCGACAGAAAAAAAAATTATGGCATAGTAAATTATTTATATTAATTAGCATTTATTACGAAATGGAAAAACTGGCATTAGTTATTTCTAAGAAACAATATAGCTTCAGCAAGATCCTTGTTGGACACCCATAGATCCGATTTGATAAACTTCAAAGCTGAGAACTTTCCGCACTAACTTGAGTACGATAGGAAGAGTTGTTACTGTTAGGACTACTTCTTTTAACTTTTCAGGACGTACAAAACGTTTTTGTATCAACTAACACAAACACTTTTATCCCATTATTTCGCAGGTTTATTAGGAATCTAATCCCTCAAATTTTTGTATCAACTAACACAAACACTTTTATCCCATTATTTCACAGGTTTATTAGGAATCTAATCCCTGAAAGCATTTGTAGGATATAGTTTTTTGGGAAATTTCTAAGTCAGTTCCACCTGTTGCCTACAGATCTTGTTCGTAGTTTTTCCTTTTTATATCTAAAGGCTCTTGGTTCTTTATTTTCATTCGGTTTGCCTTAGCCTTTTCAAGATTATCCAAAAATATTTCTTAAAATCTAATTCATCACTAAAAAAGGATGATAGAGACTCAATTGCAATGCCTGAAGTTTGACTGTCCCGATTCAAATTCTCCAATTATTCTGAGAATAATTTCATTCTTAATGAAAGTTCATAGATGACTTTCTTTGTCTTTTTAATTTGTTTGTCATCCAAGAAAATTCGGTGTTTCAGATCTACATATATTGAACCCAGAAAGATCTCACTGTCTAGCAAACTAGTTTCTCTTTTCTTTATTGAAGAAATGATTCCTTTTGCAATAAAACCTCCATTTCAGAAAGAAACAAACATCTCACATTCTTCCATTTTTGCCTCCTCTGTTAATTCTTCAGATTGCAGCTTTTTTGTGCCTACATACGGTGTAGAAAGAAGAGTTTCCAATTCTGCAAGATCATTCCACAGTCTTTCTATTAGTGAAACATTAGGGTTATCTACATCTTCTAAAATAGTTCTTAATTCTAAAAACTCTTTATCATCAAATATGTACTTTCCTTATCAAGTTGCGTGATAGATAACTCCTTTTCCTGCTCACTTCTTAAGAATGGCATCAATTTTGGGAGTTCTTGCTGCTGTTGCCAGTGAGATTTGTCACTAAATGAAGTAACTAAATGAATCAGTTTAATTACTAATAAATATAAGGGAGGAGGATGGAAAATATCACATCCCTCCTCCTACCTTATATTTATTTATTAATAGGTCAATAAAATAAAAAAATAACTATTTATTAATGTATACAGTTCATAAATAAAAATAATAACTCAGCTTGTTATTAATTTTTTTTCAATTTAAATTTCATTTCAAATTCAAACTATTCAACAAAAACTGGAGTTGGAGTCGACCTGCTTTTAGCGACTCCAGCTTCGACTCCTTTTACCCAAAAATCTGAACGACTCCGACTCCACAGCCCTGGTTCTAACTTCAGCTTTAGGCTTTTCTTTTGACCACTGTTTCTCCCCCCCCCAGTAAAGTAATTAATGTCATTCTCATTTTCAAAATCCATTTTAGTTTCTGAATCAGTATCATGAGAGCTAAAAAATTCATCACTTTTATCTGCACTTTCTTCAATGGATTCTTCACCAGTTGATACATCTTATAATAATTTTTGTAAATGTAACATTTCTTCCTTGTAATATAAATTATGCGACATGGTTTCAGTTTTCTGTAGTGGCACAAATCAACTACATAACAACAATGTGAACAGGCGTGATAGGTCCGACAGGCCTGATCCAATCAAAACAAAAC